GTGGTCATGACCGCGATGATTGTCAGAAGTGTAGGGTAACCAAGCCCCTGTCAGATACATTCACTCCCACCTATCCAGTTTGTTTGCCATACAAAGTGCCACCAGTGCCTGCACACACGCCGACGGTGTGCGGTGTCTTGCGCGAGATGATCTCTGATCATAAGTAAACGATCGAACGAATGAATCTTAAAGGAAATGACGACCATTGAGAGTAACGCCAATCAAACATTCGTTGGAGGGCAGCGCAACCAAAACTCTGACTCCTCGACAGTGTCCCTGTGGTCGCACATCCCAGGGTCTGCCGAGGCCATCCCCAAGCAGCAGTAGGTGTGAATGGACAGAGCCCTTGGTGGAATACTGTATGCGCCCAGCACAGCGAACTTGTTGCTTCGTGCAAGACCTGCAGCAGTTGTCTTCCTCGCCCTGGGCAAAGTTTATGCAATAAAACACATTCTGTTTCTTGAAGCTGCTGTGAACTGGCAGCCAACATATTTCTTTGGTTTGCCATCAGGGGGGGCACAGCCAGCCAAAAAGGCTGCAGCACAATCGCAGTCGTCCTTCAACCCGCAGCTGTGCAAGGTGAAAGGTTTGCTGAAGCGAGCTGGCGCAACAGCACGAGAGTGGCAGGCCTTCCACCAATGGATCGAAAACAGCCGCAGGATCGAATGCAAGCACGCAATCCCTTAAGAATTGAAACTTTCTACAAGATCGATTATCTGCGAGAAATTGCCAATGTGATATGTGGATTAACGAAAGCGCATACTCCAGAATGGTGTGTGCCAAGTTCATCAGAGCTTTGAAAATAATGTGCCCTATGCTTTCGTTGAGGAGGACAGGTAGTGTCTGCGGGCATTGCTTCGTGCATTCGATAGGGCAGTGATGGAGGCATTGATGACAGGTTGCTTCTGCAGTGGAGGCTCATTAAATGTGCTCACGAGGAGGAGCAACATTACGCCAATCGTTTGCCAAAGCTCAGATGATCTGAAGCGGCAGATAGGCGACGGTGCATATGGGTGCACTTGATTTCCCCGCTGCAGGGGTGGGTGGGCGAGGGGTAAGATTTTCTACAAAAGAGAAAGAGAAACAAGCCATACAAAGGCAACCCCCTCCGAGGCAAGTGTATGTGAGGCTCTGTTCCATGCTATGCAAAGATGATATAGATCCTCCGAAGCAAAAATAAGCACGCAACACAAGCAAGTCATAGGCAAGAAGAACATGCACTCGGGGAGAGGGGTGGGGTGGGGGTGGGGGGCGAAGAGGCGATGTCGCCACCCCGTGTCCCGTGGCATCGGTGGGAGAAGTGAGATCCCTGCAGCTGCTGACGCCGTCGGCGTGCTCCCGCGCCCCCCGCAACTTTCCTCACAACAAATCCCGCCAATGCTGCCGACGTCCAGCCTTCCTTCCAGCCCCGTTCGGCGGCGTTACCGGGGATTACGCCGCTCCCCCAGCGGCGTCGCCGGAGATTGGGCCCTTTCTCGGTGGGAAATTTATACCTACTTTTGGCGATCTACATGCTGTTCCCCCTGGGGGAACGCAGAACACGAAAGTCAGTCGCGAAGGCGCAGAGAATCATAGCGAAATGCCCGCGCACGAATGGTTGAAACTGGTGCATATAGGATGCAGCGTTACTAATCTTCTACACGGTGGTGGTGATTGCCCATTGCCATCCATCACAAGGAGGGCAAGAGGGTGGAAGTCTGTGCAGCCAGGGGGGGGGGGGCTGGCGATGCATGCTTTGTCCTGCCCTGGAGTAGTGCACGCTTTTTAAATGTCTATGATGGCAAGCGTGCACTTCTGTTATGGAGTGCCCGGGGGTGATAGCGCCGCTCCATTTGCGAGCTTTGCAACAGACTTTTCCAAAACTTATAGAGCATGGCAAAAAAAGAGGGAATTTTGGATGCGGGTCCTCATTCGCGCTGATGTGCGACGGCAGTGGGCAATGGTTGGTCACTCCCTGGATGCGATGTCAAAAACGACTGCAGAGGTATTTTAGTAATTGTATGTTTAGTAAACACCGCTGGCACTCTCTTTCATCACAGGTACGTAATTCAACGCTATGAATGGAATCGGAACCAGCCAGCATGTACACAGGAGTTTTGGACGCGGCGCGGTGCCCTCTTGATTGCCTTGCCTTGTGTGGCACCGAGCGTCTTGCAGTGGCGAACATTGGCGATGCCCAGCCTGCATGCGGGCATTAGCCGAAAAACAACGGGGAAGCAATGGTGAGAATGGCACCGTACAGGCGAGTAACAATACAGGATCTGTCTGGTCCGTATGTACGACTTGGACATTTTCTTCGTAGTATCGACCGAGGAAAGATGTGCAAAATGGCCAAGGTTTCGCAGGTTGAGGCCAGGTAGGGCAGTTCTGCGCGCAGGAATATGAGCTGTCAAGAGGTATGGGCCCTGGTATGATGGCCGTGACTTAACATTAATGAAACTTAAATTATTCGAAGACCATGCACCGTTTGTGAAACCAACGAGTGTAATCCCAACATCGTTCTCGTCTCTCACATTACGATTCTAACCGGCGTCTCTGATTACACATGACGCAGCCCTTTGCGAGAGGACAATGCTCCCCTACTCCTAACTGGAGTACAAGAGGGGCCAATTGTAGTTAGGAATTTTGACTGACCTGTGGCAATCAAATGTGAACATTTGCTGTGATCTCTTTTCTGTGGCTCCTCATTGTCAGTACTTGTGTAATACTGGTACTGCACTTTCGCTAAAGAAATGGCACCAAGCACACCTTAGTTGAGCACAGCTTCTCTGTGTTAGCATACGTTTCCACCTGTTCGATGCAATTGAAGCCGCGGCTAGAATCTGTAGATTGCCAACTCCATCTCGGAAAACGGACACCAGTTGGTGCAATGCAATGGCTGTGTTGCTGTTGATCCAATGCTCAGAAGCTCTTCAGGGAATGCCCACATATCAGCATTCACAAGTCTGAATGTCTGCCCCCAGAGTTGCGTCAATGCTAATGCCCTGGCCTTGCCGCAACACCGCTTGTCACTGTATCATTGACACTGTGTACATACCATTGCCTCAATTCTAACCAAATCGCAGGCGTGCTTGCAAGAAATCCCAATTTCAAGCTGCTGAAATCTGAGCTAGTAAATTGGTGCAGCTGATTGGGGAACTCTCATTTTCTAGAGGCAGTTGAAGCCAAGGCAAGTGGCAGGAGTCTCGAACAGCAATTTCCCGCCTCCTCGAGGTGCTCCGAGGTCATAGGTATTCGCCACTGGCCAGGGATATGCACCTCACCATGCAAATGATTTGCAACGATTATCCTTGAATGACGCACACCTTCGCTCTGCTAAAAGACGCACTCATCGCAGAAGACGAGTCATGCCGAAGGTCTACTGCCGGACACAATGGGCAGCCTCCGCGCCCGATCGGCTCGCGAGCCGCGTGCTGGGCGCGACTGCGTCACGCACCTCTCCTGCTGACGCGCCACACAAAGTACCCCAATGAAACCCAATGTTCAACAATGCACCGCTAAGCGCGGCCCAACAGCTGCCCGACAGGCTGCACGGCTTATCCCTCAGGCGCACAAACCGCTACTAAGCGCTGACCCTCCGCGCACCTCCCGTGAGCGTTCAGCCACCGTCACGTCAGCGTGCCGCAACGCATTGCCCAAATCACACCTTCCGCACCCTTCACAGCCCACGGGGTACCGGTCACACCCCCCACCACCTACAAGAGGGCGCCGCGCCCCTCCCAACCCAAACGTTCCCCATCTGCGAAAGAGCTACCGCCGAGGCCTCTGTGAGCTGCTGCGCCCCGTCTGCGGTGAGTGCGCCTCTCGCATAGGGCCACGCCGCGCCCGCCTTCCCCCGTGGTGAAGGGGCGATCGGCGCTTCCGGATGCCGTGCCGCCGCCCGCCAGGACGCTCGTGAGCCTTTGCCGCTTTGATAGGGAAACAATCGGAAATTGATGCAACCATCGCGGGGGTGGGGGTGAAGGGGTGGGAGCTGATCGGTGGCGGCCGACGGACGCATGTTCGTGCTTTGAGGGAGGGGGAAGGAGCGATCGTATGCGGAATCCTGGACGTGTCTTCGCTTCGCGGGAGCGCACGGACACCGCTTGACGCGCACGTCAGCCTCCATCGGGATGGGAAGGTCCCAACCGGAAAATGCCGTGCCGTGGGATGAGCGGCGACGCCTGGTGGAACGGGCCCTTGCTCCCGCGAGTGGTCCGTCGTTCGGGGCTCGGGCGAGGCACGTCCCTATGCTCCATACCGTGAAGTAAATCACAGGTCGTACGTCGCCCTGAAATGTGGTTGCTTGCCCTCGTCGCAGGTTCCCAAATGACGACCGCAACGAAGATGCGCAGCATGAAGTTGGCCGCCGCCGCCGTTCTGCTTTTGGCCCTGGCGGTGAGTGCCCTACCCGATCACTGCCAGTATGTCCCGCCAACCGACCAATCTTCACCGCGCCGCCGCCCTGGCCAGGCCTCCTGCTCGCGAATCACTCGATCGCCCCTAGAGGCGCGTCCCTCAAGGCGTCCCGAACTCGTCTGAGCCGGAAGACTCGCACGGCATGTCGGGGTTTGCAAACCGCGGAGTGGGGAAACGGTGTTTGCGTTATGTGCTTTGCCGCGGTTTCGTGGGTGGGGAAGAAGCCACAGTGCAGTCGGCTGCCCCCCCGATCGACTGGTATTTTGAGTGCTGGGGCCCCGTATATACGGCTCATACACGAGTCGACCCTCGGTACGCCTCATAAGGCGTTCTGTGAGTTGCGGTGGATGCCTCGCAGTCCATCGCCAGCGCCAGGCCTGTTGGTCTGCGGTCTCTCCTGGACATCGGGAAGCCCCCCATTTTCTGCACCGGCGGGGACCACGCCAAGGACGAGTGCCCCAATCACCACGATTGCGTCGCCCTTAAGGAGAAGGTCTGCAAGCAGGTCCAGGGTGAGTGCAGCACGCGCCAGTCCGTTTGTACCCAACGCCAAAGCGCCAGTTTTGCACATGCGCTGTCTGTATGTGACGTCGACGTTGCGGATGGCACTGACACTCGCACGGTGGCTCGCAGACTGCAAGACGGACAACTATGGCAAGCAGACCTGCACCTACGGGCAGAAGTGCTGGGAGTACGAGTGCGTGGAAATTCCCAAGCATTGCGAGGTGGTCTATGCCGGTGGGGACGAGTGTGTGACCAAGTATGGCAAGGACCTCGAGTGCAAGGAGCTGAAGAAGCCGGAGTGCGTGTACGAGAAGGGTGAGTGACAGAGGCATGCCCCTCTCCCATTGGTGTCAAGATTGTTCTGCGCACCCACCGCGTGGCCTGCACGTTCCGGGCTACAGTGAATGGAGGGAGTGCTGTCACCATTGTTTGGATTCTGGAGGCGTTGCGGCTGCAATTCATGTGCTTTGGCTGAATGCAATGTGGTGCACGCCACATCCATCCTTCCCGCTTTCTGCGTTGGTACTGAGCAGCGATCTGCCCGTCACTTGTGTGCTGTGATCCCGCACTTTTCCCCGTGGCGGTTGCACTTATCCGCGTGCCTGTTGCCCGCCCTCAGAGTGCGAGTACGTAGACACCGGCAAGTGCAAGGAGTACGAGTATCAGGAGAAGTGCATCGAGGTGCCCACCAAGATCTGCCTGAAGTACAACCAGGTGCAGAAGTGCGAGAAGGACCGCCAGGTGTGCAAGGAGTACAAGCAGGAGAGGAAGTGCGAGCAGGGCAAATGCACCAAGTACGACGCCTACGGCGGCTGCACCGCGTACGGCCAGGCGGACTGCAAGTACGTGGACACCGACAAGTGCAAGGTGTACGAGACGGTGAAGGGCAAGTGCGTGTACGTGAGCGGCGCCTGCAAGGAGTACAAGAAGGAGCAGAAGTGCGACAACGTGAAGAAGGGCTGCAAGGAGTACGAGCAGGAGGAGGTGTGCAAGGATGTGAAGGTTTGCTGGACCGGCAAGTGCGTCGAGGTGCCCAAGAAGGGCAGCTACAACGCAAGACACGGCAAGTAGACTCGGAGACTTTGTGGCTGTGGGGTGCCTTTTTAGGGATGCACAGGCGATAGAATTGAGGTCGAGGCGAAGATGACCCGCGCGTCCGGGCTGGGGAATACGCAAATATGCCCAGGGTCTTCGGGCCATTATTTTCAGCATGAAAGTTTCGTCAGGGCTATCTGCTAAACTAGGGGGATTTTGTTGAGTTATTTGATGATCAGGGGGCCGCAACGCCATCCTACGAGGTAAACTATTGTAATTGCTTATTGTTGTGTTGGACGACGGTATCGCTTGCCTTGATTTCTGCAGTCTGTCCAATATGTGGATAGCAATGTATTGCTCTTCACTTGGGAAGCGTTGAATGGGCGGATTCACAGGCAGCTGGATTGACGCAGGCCTCTGCCCCAAGGCTCAACTGCCTGAGTTACAATTTCCACATTCCCTTCTCTGCTATCCATCGCCATTCGCGCTCCCAAACTTAGCCCATAGGCCGAGTAATTCATGCTTACTCAGCGGAGATTTCGAGCTCGGTGTGAGGGATGTGCCGGTGGCAACGAACTAGATTGCGATCTCCATGCCTCACGAAAACTGCTCATCGACCCGACGAGCTTGTCGCCATGCCCACCGACCTGGCAAATCTCTTCCCAACGCCATCCTTTTGGAGTTTGTAGCTTTCAAGGTGGGCTTAGGATGAGCAAATCCGTTGACTCACATCCACTTGCAGTCTGCAGATTGCAACGAGACCATCCACCCTCGTCTCATTGAACTCTTATCAACTTCGTAAATGGCATCCACTGGAGGTGTTCCCTTTTTTCTGCAGCAACAGTATATTGCATCATCCCGAACACGGGTACTCCTAAGTATCAGTTAAAACACACAATTGGTACAAAACACAATTAGTTGCAATATTATTGTTTCAAAAGGATGCACATGATATAGTCTCGAGACTGTGCTCATACATTGCCAGATTCGCCAGACGAAATTATCTGAACTGCGAACCATCGCTGAGTACCTGATGTGCTTGCCTCTGCCTTCGGCGTCGCGAAACCCATGCAACGCCTCAAAGTTCAGGTTGCCACCTCCCAGAACTGGAACGCTGTAGCCCCAGCTCTTCGTTTGACGGGCCATTACCCCCCTTAGGATTTGGCAGTCTTGCCCTGAGTTGCGCGTGTGTGATGTACCGCCAGATCTTCTGTGCTGGTGCCTTGCAATTTTCGATGTGCATTTTATGTACTCGTGGTAGGCCAGACATGAATTTTCAGCTGCAGCGGCAGGGGTGTCAGCAAATACGCTGTATTCGAAACAGCGCCAAGAGGAGAAAACGGGACTCGATTCCAGACAGACAAGTATCCTGATGGTTTTCAAAGAATAGAAACTGTGAACACCAGCACAGGCTCCCATGCAGAAGGAACTTGTGTGCGTAGAGGAAGGGAGCGTGATCAATTCTGATAAGGGGTTGAATTCCCTGGAATGTGAAATTGAGCACTATATTCAAGATCCACATTAACCCACAATTGAGTAGGATTCCGAATCTGGTAACATATTAGCTAATTAACTTGATCGTATAGTTGCAAGTTAACACTTCCAAGTTAAAGCAGGATGCCTAAGCGACGAGAACATTGAAAAGGAAATAGCATTTACTTATTTTAAAGTAGATCCTATTTTATTGACATGGTCATCGACGCTTACCAGCGTGAATACCAAATAATTTTTGAATCGAAATATTTGAAAATGGCGGTGCAAAGTCGTAATGGATATTTTTGTGGGGCAAGAAGGGAAATAAGCAATAGTATGCATAGTATGCATCTACAGCTCCTTTTGAGAGCAATTGCACCCCCGTTTTCACCAACTTACTTTTGTAGCGCGTCCTTTAGGCATGCGCACCGCGTTTTGTAAAAAATACCCGTTCCATGGGTGTTTGCAGCCCGTTTATAACACATTTCAGGCGTCTGGTCAGCGCGCGCCAAAATATTCCCTTTCCGCCACCAACACAATAGGCCAGAAATGTTGCGCCAAGAACGTTGAATTTCCGTTGACCAAAGCTGCGGAGGCTTGCAAGCCCCAATTGGGGATCGATGAGCACCCAAGCAACAAGGCCAACCGGGCAGTCGCCACTCCAAACCGGGCGGCAAGTCGGGGTGGCGAGGAGGCGCTGGGATCCACGGCGAATCGGCGTCTCGATTCAGCTCGAAGGAGAAGGCAATTCATCAAAAACTCAAAGAGTGTGTGGGAAAGAAGTTTCCTAGTTAGAGAGCAAGGAGTCTCAAGCGGAGCAGGGTGTATTCTCGCTGTAGCCAGCACAAAAAATGCGACAAGATGTTGAAGGCAACTTGTAAAACAAAGCCGCCGGTGGGTGATGGTGTAGCTACCTCTGAGTGGATAGCAGATGAGGTACAAGGAGCGCACCACAGTGGCTGAGAATTTAAACAAGGTATTAACTCTGTCCATGTGGGCACTAGTAAAAAACAGGCCAGATGACACAGTCCTGACACCGTCTGCTCAAAATCCAACGGTGTGCTTTCGTCAGTATTGTCCCACAACCAGACAGTAAGTACACACATTGACACAGTTTTAACGGTGCACCCTGGTAAACCATGTAATATACACAGTTGTTTTAGACTACACGATTGAAACTGCGTCAATGTGTGTACTAATTGTGTGGTTCTGGCACCACATTTTCCGAAAGTACACAGTTGGAGTTTAAGCAGTTCGTTTTAGGACTGTGTCATCTGGCTAGTTTTTTCCTGTTGGGGGGAGATTGAGGGTCATATGCATGCTGGGCTAATGGCAAACAAGATCAAGAACAGATCGATTCTTGACGGAAAGCCCAATCTGCCAGTTATTGCACAGATCCGTTCAAGGCGAAAAGTGTTGAGGTCCCATGTTAGTCTGCAATGGCAGTTTGAGTCAAAGCTGGATTTGAAAGATTGGGTGCCAGATCTCATTGTAAAGATGACTGCAGATATATCCCAGTAGAATTGGGAACAGTTCTGGGAAACTAAAGGAGCATAATTTCCGAATCATTCCAGGATCGCTGATGGGTGATGAAGAAGGGGGGCAAGGTTTTTGCTTCTCTACGCCCACACTGCTTGAAAATTTTAGACAAATCTGCGCATTGTTTGGGAGCAGCTTGTGTCTCAAAACCGGTGGCACCTACAAGTTGCACCATGGCAACTGAGTGCTGCGTCCAGTCAGCACCCACGTTGCTGCCAGAGGGTATTCAAAAATGGGCAAGAGTCAAGAGCCAGTGCACAAGTTTGTCCCATTTGCGTATGCGATGACAAGGACAGAGAGTGGGTTCAGCTATGGACGTCCTTTCTCAAGTTGGAAGTGGCAGCGAGCTATTTAGCTTTTGAACTAACGGCGGCGAGCTGCAAATTCGATCACGCCCAGGCGATTTGTAATGGCTTCAAAGCCCAGTTTCCAATCAGTCGGACAACCGCCTACCATCCGCGAGTTGACGTGGACTTCCAGAAGAGTAAGTTGGCCAACAAGCAAGACAAAAGATCAGCCATGCACGCAGATATGAGGAGCTTGCATCGCAGACAAACTCGATAGAAGTTTGAAGTATTGGGTGCTTTGCTTGTCTAAGAGTGGGCGGCGGTGGGCGAAACTGATGTGGCAGATTGGTTCCGGGAGCAATACCAAATTTGGAATAGCTGGGTTGTATGTGCTTCTGGGGTACTAGGTGTTCTTACCTTCTCTAATACAATTAAGTCTCACAATCATCAGGTGAAGGAGGGGCGGGTGGTTGCGCTGAGGGCATCAACACAATTTCCGTTACGTTTGGGCTTACCAAACCTTGTTAGATCAAACTTATGTATTCTGGACAGCCTGGAGCTTACGCAAAAGGCACCGCTCCCTTCTAGGGTGCATGTAGTCAATCGTATGAAGAATATGGACTAGTATATAACTACTTGCGAGGAGGGGTTGTTTCGCTGCACGTAACGAGCTTGCACAAAAGGCGAGTCACCGAGATTACACAAAATGCACCGTTCACTTCTTGCAAGAGTGCCTTTTGAAGCCTGCCGCTGACACTCGCACAGTAGCTCGCAGACTGCAAGGCGGACAACTATGGCAAGGAGACCTGTACCAACAAGCAGAAGTGCTGGGACCGTGCATGTGTGGATATCCCCAAGTACTGCAAGGCGGCCTACGCCGGTGAGGACGAGTGCGTGACCCAGTGCGGCAAGGATCTCGAGTGCAGGGTGCTGAGTAAACCAGAGTGCGTGTGCAATAAAGGTAAGCGACAGAGAAACGCTCCTCTCCTGTCGGTCGCAAGACTGCTTTGCACATCTCGAGCACGGCCTGCACGTTCCGGGCCGCAGCGTGTGGAGGAGTGTTGCCCAGCAATTTTCTTAAATTTGCAGTGGTGCAAGGCGCCGATTCACGTCTTTTGGTTGAATGCAGTGGTGCGAATGTGCTGCAAGGCACATCCATCCTCCTTTCCTGCCGCATTAATGCGATGTTCGTTTTCTAATTGTGCATGGCGATCTCGCAGTTTCGCCCCCTGGCGGTGGTGCTGATCCGCGTGCCCGGTTGCCCTTCTCTGGAGTGCGAGTACGTGGACATTGACAAGGCCAAGGAATATGAAAACGCGAAGATGGGCTGCAAAGTGTACGAGCAAGAGGAGGTTTGCAAAGATGTGGAGGTGTGCTGGACAGGCAAATGCGTCGAGGCACCCAAGAAAGTTGGATACAGCGCCGGCAAGTAGACTGGAGAATTCGCAGCTACCGAGCCACGTCGTTTGTGATGCACATGCGATAGAATGGAGGTCGAGGCGGCCATGACCCGCGCATCCGGGCTGGCTAATACGCGAAAATGCTCAGGGGCTTTCAGGTCGGTAACTACAAGATGCAAATTGCATTAGAAGCATCTGCTAGATTAGGAGGACTTCTGTGGAGTTGCTTGATGATCACGTGTCCGCAGCACCTTTGTACATGAGCCACCATTGTAATTGACGTTGTTGTCTTGCATGACCGCATCGCTTGTAATGGCTTCCGAGGTCTGCTCCCACGGAATTGACCAAGTAGTACTCTCATCTTGTTGCCTTCAATGGGCAGCTGGGTTTGTGTAGGTCCCTGTCACAAAACTGGTGTGGCTGGGTTACCTTTTGCATATTCTCGTCTCTGATACCAGTTGCCATCCTCGCTCCGAAAAGTATCCCATATGGCAAGCACAAATGCTCAAACAATTGAGTTTTGATTCGGTCTGGGTTGTGGGCAAGCGGTGACAAACCAAGATAGCAATCCTTGCGGCGGTGCGTTTCCGCTTTGATGGCTCGCACCTATACATGGTGACCGATGCCCCGGTGGCTGTGAAGAGCGGAAGGTGATGCTGTGCCAATGGGCGTGACGGGCGGGTGCTGCGGTCGCCACGCAGGGGCCGCGTGGCACTATGCGGGCAAAGGGGCGTATGGGGGGAAGGTGTGAATTGGGCATTGCGTTGCGGCGCGCCGACGTAACGGTGCCTGAGATGCTGGCATCTGCCTTCGTGCAAGGGCGCATGGTAGCGTTTTGCGCCGCCACTGGAGAAGGGTGTGAGAAGCCGTGCCGCGCGTCGCTTCGCCGATCGGCCAAGCGTCGGATCGCTCTTAGCAATGCTTTTATGTCCTCGTTTGCACGTCAGCAGGAGAAGCGCCCCTCATGATCAACCATTAGGCTAAATATACATGCTCATTAGCTCACGCCCTAGCACGCTATGGCTTGCAAGTTTGTCCACGTGTAGGCTGTAGCAAGCAGGCGCCCAGCAGGACTGAGGATAGATTTTGTGTAAGCGAAAACGTAAAATTGTTCAACGCTTACTGATATAAGAATGAAAGCTCTTTCCCTTCATAAGCTATGCACTAGGTAGGGAGTTCCGCGCTTACGCAATGCCGGGTGCTCTAGGGACAAGAGCGCATGCCTAACTGTCTTAAATCCGTGGATAACACTTCTCCACCTACATGATTTTGATGACTACAATGTAAATCTTACAACGTCTCTTGACTCCACGTTGCATTTGTCCAGTGCGAAACACATGTAGATCGATACCAAGTTCATTCACCTTCAATCTGTGAGAGCACCGCAACAGATTTGATGGCCTCCTCATCAAAAAACGGTTGGTGTGAAGCATCCAGAAATTCGGGATTGAGTTACAGCTTCGTCGATAGGTGTTGCGGAAGCGAGAATGTTGATGCGCTTTCCGTCAATGATGCTGCAAGTCTTGCACATCAACGCTCCATTGAAATCTTTGGCCCCAATTCCATTGAAGCTAATGAGGCATGAATTGTGACATCCTGCAGATCATCTAGCTCATCGAAATTACGGTCATTGTTGCTTGCAAGACGTGGGCGCATTGGCAATGCAGCAATGGGGCCAGGCGGCACATCAGACACGTTGTAGGAAGGGCTGTCAAAGTCGCTGTGACTCCCTCCCGATTTCTGAATGAGGTACGAAGCATCCAACCACAGCTCTTGGAATTACGTTATTGTTGTATAGCAGTAGTTGGGATTTTCATGATACATGGAATATGTTGCTACACAGTTGCATGATACAAAGTCGTGATACCGGAGGTACTGCTTTGAGCGCGGCGCGACAGAAGCTTCACCGTGCTCCCTCCGTCGAGGCATACGCACTGTTTCCGCTTGAGAGCCTGTGTATGGTATCACATGGATGCTTTTCCCTTCAAGACCTTCTTGAATATGGTGTATTTGCATACACGCCCCTGCCAGTTGTTGCCGAAAATTCAAACCCGAACACCCGAGTACACGAAATGCCCACCAGAAATCCACGAGGTACCAGTGCAGCAGATTTGGCGGTATATCAAACACGTAACTCGCGACAAGAATTGTCCACGTGGGGTTTGGCGATCCACCGAAAAAAAGCGCTCCAATTGTGGAAATCCCCAGTATGATGTTTAGCGCCTTCCATGGGGTTTTACCGCGCCAGAAGGCAACGACAAATACATCAAGTTTCGACCAGTGATGCTCCAAAGTACGTGGTAAATCCGCATGGCGAAACTGGCAATGAATGACCACACAGTCGAGACTACATTATTTGTATTTTTAAAAACGATTTTGAAAAGGCTTGAAACGATTGAAACGGCAAATACGTTACTTGTATTTTAATGGCATTTGAAAGTACCAAAGCAAATCGTGGCGATGCAGTATACTGTTGCTGCGCAGGGGCAATTCGGTAAGTCTGCGATGAAGGATACGTGCGTGGGTGGTTCCGGTGCATTCCGCAGACTGCGCGTGGAAGTGGGCCACGGGGTTTACCGATCCTGAGCCGATCTTCAAGAATACCAATGTCAAACGGATTGCATTGGAGAGATATGTATCAGGTCGGCGGGCAGTTTTACATTTTCAGGAGTGCCTATGTCCAACCCTTCCGCGTCAAAAATTTTCAGTTGCTTTTCTGCTCAGCGTCTCGTTCTCCTGATCATTGTTTTATTTTCTAGCTGTTGCCAAAAAATATTAAAAGAACGTTATTTATTTTGCTTTTTCTCCACAGCGTTACGTTAATATGCGGAACTTCCTCCGTCTCAGATTAAACTGCACTTTTGGGAACCAACAAAAATATGTGCTACATGTTGTTTCAATGTACGAGAGCAGGTCGGCAACAGGAGGACGACGTGCAAGCCTTTGGAAACAACATTACACCGCCACCGGAACGGCTTCTCAGTCCTTTTCCAGCATCTCCCAAAAAGCGGGAAAAGAAGCAGTTTCGGGGCCTCCTTGAAGATTTTGGGAAGTTTCTGGTTGCTTGGCTTATGTTAAAGGTCACGTTGTGGATTGACTGCTTAGTCGATAGGCTCACAATTTTGGGAGCGCATAATAAAGTCAATTAAAATACCGTGGCGCATTTTGGTGGAGTATTACATGATTAGGAAATTTTGCGAGGTCATGATTCTTAGCTGCAATTTAGTCAGGTACGGAGGAAGTACTGCGGTAAACGTGTGCAGTACGTTTGCAATTCCAAAACGGAAACGCAAACGGCTGTATAAGTTTGGCTTGCTGAAACGGGAACGGAAACGTATGTTGCACGTTTGCGCTTTAGAAGCTGGTAGCCAGCGCGTCGTCAGAACGTCTGGGTTTCCCAAATGGAAATGCGAAGGTGCGTCCCACGTTTTGAGTTGTGAAGTCGTAATCGCACTTGATGGAGACAAGCCCGCAGGAGTGGGGACACAATCGCCGCCTCCCATCTCCCTGGCCTTCGCCTCCTCACTAGCACCAACAGCCCCGTTTGACTGGCATCCGCAGGTGGCCACATCCAGCACTCACGCCGGGCCAAGGCGGCAAATGAAAATGGCACCGCACGCGGTGCCACATGCTGCCCTGCGCAGGGCCCCGAGGCTTGGGCGCAGACTGCAAACCCGACTCGAAAGCGACGAGAGTGGGAAGCGATAACCGCCTCCCTCGTCCACGGTTCTGGCGCCTCGCGGCCATCCCGGGCTCTTCAAGCTTTGCAGGGTCTCTGGATGAATAATATCCCAGGCAACCACAGCTCAGCGAAAACCAGCTAAACCAACGCATCAAATCTAAAAGGTTTCGGTTGACCACTGCACACATAAACAAGCAATAATGCTCTGAAATGCAATACATTAGCAAACCACTTCTGAAACAAACTTGGTGCTCCGGCTGCAAAAAGAAAATTGAAGGTCTGTCACACGCATGACGCTTCGAAATGGCAAAGTGAACGAGTTCAACACGTTCGAGCCTTCAAAACGCGATTGGGAACTTGTGCTGTGCGTTTGGGTCTCAACAGCGACAACGTAAACGTGCGCCTTGTGTTTGGATTCTCACAACGTGAACGCAAACGTGTGATGAATCGCCAACGAACACGTGTTTTTCTCGTTTACATTTCGTTTGGGGTCAAACGAAATGTACACGAGAAAAACACGTGTTCGTTGGCACACTGCACTGCCGGTCACACACCCCCCAAGCCCACAAGAGGGCGCTGCGCCGCCCCTCCCCACCAAAACGTTCCTGCTCTGCGAGCAGCTAGCGCCGAGGTCTCCGCGACCTGCCCGAGCCCCGCCTGTGGTGCGTGCGTCTCTGGCATTCAGGGGACGCCGGCCCCGCCTCCCCACCGTGGTGCTGGGCGATCAGCGTTTCCCGTGTGGAGTATTTGCGAAACTTTGCCGCTTTGATCGGGAAGCAATCGGGAATTGGGGCAACCATCGGGGCAAGGGGTTGATTAGTTGTGGCGGATGGACGAATGGCGGGTCTGGGAACGGCGCGGTAGCTTTGGAATCCTGGGCGCACCTTCGCTTCGTGACGGCGTCAGGACATCTCTCGACTCGCACGTCAGCCTCCATCGGACTGGGAAGGTCGCAACCGGCAAATGCCGTGCCGTGGGATCGGACCGGCTGCTACCGCGAGTGGCCCTTCGTTCGGGGCTCGGGCGAGTGGCTGGCTGGCTGTGCCCATGTTCGATGCCGTGAAGTGCATCGCGGGCCGTGCGTCGCCGTGACATGCCGTGGCTTGCGGGCGACGCAGGTTCCCAAGCGACGAGCGCAACGAAGATTGGCAACATGAAGCTCGCCGCCGCCGCTGTTTTGCTTTTGGCGCTGGCGGTGAGTGTCTTCCGCAATCTCCGTGGCACAGCCACCACGTCCCGCAGACCGACCAAGCTTGCAGTACCGCGCCGCATCTCTGTCCCGGCCCGCCTGCTTGGGAATCATTCGATCGTTCCACGACCCGCATCGGCGAAGGGGTCCCCAATCTGTCGAAGCAGGAAGACTGGCGCGACACAGCGGCGTTTGCAAGTCGCGGAACGGGGAAACGGTGTTGTCTGCTTTCGGTTTCACCTGTTTGGGGAAGCCACAGTGCAGTCAGTGCACCCCGGTTGACCAGTGTTCTGAGCGTGATCGGGCTGTGTATGCGAGCCATACATAAGTGAACCCCTGGGGTTTTTTGAGTGTTGGTGCCTCGCAGTCCGTCGCCAGCGTGTGGTCGCTCTCCCTTAATTGGGAGCTCATGTGCACCGGGGCGAACCACGCCGAGGACGAGTGCCCCGAGCACCACAAATGCGTCGCCCTTGGGGAGAAGGTCTGCAAGCAGGTCCAGGGTGAGTGCAGCACGCACAGATCCACTTGGAACCGCCGCCAAAACGCGAGCAGAGCGCTGTCAATGTATGGCTGAAGCCACGGACGGCAGCGACGTTGTGAATTCCCATCCGCCACATCGGCAACCTATTGGATCCAGAAGCTTGTACCACTTTTCAGACGATCTGCAGGAATCCATTGCTAAGAGAACGCCCCCCTGGTTCTGGAGGCCTGCCCAGGAGTTTCTAGACACGCTTTCCTGACGGCCCGCAAGAGTGCCTGTTTTAAACCTGCAGCTGACATACGCACGGTCGCCCGCAGATTGCACGACTGACAAGTATGGCAAAGAGACCTGCACCGGCAAGCAGATGTGCTGGGAGCATGCGTGCGTGGGGATCCCCAGGTACTGCGAGGTGGTCAACGCCGGTGAGGACGAGTGCGTGACCAACTACGGCAAGGACCTCGAGTGCAAGGAACTGAAAAAGCCGGAGTGCATGAATGAGAAGGGTGAGTGACGGAGACACGGCCCTCACCTGTCGGTCTCAAGACTGTTTCGCAGACCTCAAGCGCAGCCTGCACGTTCCGGGCCACGGTGTGTGTGGAGAGCGTGTTGCCCAGCATCTTTTTTGTTTCTGGTAAAGTTAAGGCGGCCATTCAGGTGGTTTGGTCGAATGCAATGGTGCACATGCGCTGCACGGCACATCCACCCTCCTGCTTTCCGCATTAGTGCGATACTTACCTTTATTTGTGCATGGCAATGTTGCACTTTTGCCCCCTGATGGTTGCGCTGATCCGCGTGCATGGTTGCTCGTCCACAGAGTGTGAGTACGCGGACACCGACAAGTGCAAGGAGTACGACAACGTGAAGAAGGGCTGCAAGGTGTACGAGCAGGAGGAGGTGTGCAAGGACGCGGAAGTGTGCTGGACCGGCAAATGCGTCGAGGTGCCCAAGAAGGGTGGCTACAACGCCGGCAAGTAGACCCCAGATTTTTCAACAACAGATTGACGCTGTGTTGAGGATGCACAGGCGATAGTTTGAGGTCAAGGCGACCATGACCTGCACATCCGAGATGCAGAAAACGCAGTAATGCCCGAGATTTTTGGCCCACTGTTTTAGGGTGCAAATTTCATCCGAAGCATCTGCTAGGTTTGGGGATATTTGTGGAGTTAATGGATGACCAGGTGGCCGCAGGGCCTTCGCCGTTCGACAATTATTGTTGAGGATGGCGGTATCTCTTGTCCTGTTTTCATACGTCTGCTTGCCACAGACTTCTGCAGCCGAATGCGCTTCAACTGTGAGGGTTGAATTGGCGGGCGTACATGCACCTGGATTGATACCGGCCACTATACCAAGGGTAAAGTGCCTGGGTTACTATCAGCGCACTCCCATCTTTGACACGCATTACCATCCGCGCTCCCAGACCTTGCCCATGGTCCGAGTACCTCATGCTTACTCAACTGAAAATTTGAATGCCGTTTGATCGATGCACAAGTGGCAGAAAGCTCGGTGATATTTACGCCCCTGTGAATTTCTCCTCTTGCCCGTCAGACCTGGTAAGTCTCCCCCCAGCGTTATTGGCATGAAAATCGTATCTTCGAAGGTGGGACTAGGGTCGAAAATCCGTGGATCACCTCAACAAGCCGTGTGCATCGGGGCTAACCACCCACAGCTTCTTTACCGCAAATTTAGCAACTTCATAGCCTCGTCTATTGCAGGAACCTCTTTCCTCCTGTGCAAAAACAGTATGCTAATTTATCCTCAATGGATTTGGCACTTCAAGTACCACCTAAAAGCGTAAGTAGCTCACTTGCATTATTAACCATTTCAAATGATAGAAATAATGTACGCCTGCTGCATTTTCATTCATTTGCCAGCCGCGCCAGCCGGATTTACCACGCGCTTTGAAGCATCGCTGAGCAGAACCTGGTATAGTCGCTTGTGCCTTGCGGCGCCGCAAACTTCATGGAAAATATCATATTACACTCTGGGGCTTTCCCGGATTTGCAACGCATTTATTCGGAGGGTCGCCAAACCCAAATATGTTTGACATTCTTGCCTCGAGCTGCACGCGTTTATCGCAACGCCAAATCTGCTGCACTGGTACCTTGTGCGATTCTCGGTGTGCATTTTATGTATCATGGGCGTCCAGGTATGATTGCTCAGCAGTAAATGGCGGGGGCGTGCACGAATGCCCCGTATTGTACTGTACACGCCGTATTCAAAACGACCTCAGGAACGAAAACCGACGAAGTGTTCAAATGATTTTCAGGGGGGAAGACAGTCACGTGATCGGACGCAAGCATTCAAGGGCAAGGAATCGACAAAGGAAGCATTATAAATCTTCTGTTGCGCAGCGCTTAAGTATCAGTACTCCGCCGCGCAGTATTTCGAATGTCAGGACGGAAGTCAGGCAGTACTTCAAGTATCAGGATAAGGTAGCATATTTCTCTGCCCCAACATACTCCAAGTACTTTAGGAATTAGCGACTACAACTCAGCGCCAATACCAAGCTCTTCAGGTGTAATAATTGGACCCTTCGTACCTTCGCACCACCTGCAGTTTAGATGGTCTGGCAATCAAAATCTGTTGCGGAATTGGAATGGATTGCAGACGGATGAGCTGGGCACTGATGAACATGCGCTTCGAACTGGGAAAATGTGACGCAAATTTAAGAAATGCTGTTAGAATTGCGCATCTTCCTCACCAAAAACACGCAGGCGCAGACAGAGGTTACCTACGGGCTTGAAGCTTTTCGCCACACATGTTTTGGCCCTTAAGCACCGCACAGTGGATAAATGCGGATAAATCCTCACCCGTTGCACAATTTGCAAGGGGATATCCCTTCGTCCGTTGATCGGCATCCGCTGAACGTTCTTATATTCGGCGGATCTCCAACCCATAATCTATCTTCAGTCCTGCTGCAAGCTTGCTTGCTATTTATTCCACGCAGACGCCACTTGGAAGGCATGGTCTAGGAGGTAGTGATGTAGGTGGCTCTTTGGCCAAATGTTTGGCCGTGGGGCGCGAGACAAGATGAAGCACAGACGGGGAACGGAGAGTCGAAACCTGCCAGCTGCCCTTTCTCTGAAAAATGCGCATTCGTAGTTAGCGTCAGCTCAAAATGCTCGCGGTTATGGGCTGCTCATGGACACGACGAGAGCACTGGAAACACTGCACACACGCATGGGATGCGCCATTCGTCTTCTGTGGTCTCACAGGTCTCTTGCTGCGCGAGTGCAATGTAGGGGACCAGCAGTTGGAGTGCTTTTGTCTGGAATTATGGAAATACCTCATGTTCTTTTTTTCTTGCCAAGAAATCGCTGCGCAAGTGAAGAGAGGGGCCATGCGGAGGACAAGGAAGGTTACGAGCCGGAATCGCGCGTCAAGGATCCTCCCTTTGTACGATTTCGCAATTCGGCAGGCGGTTTTCCACGCGGAATTTCCCAGATCGACGCCATGTGGGAAATTTTTCGTACATTAGTTGGATGTCTCAAGCCGATGGCGTTTGCTTGCGCAGATCTTTCATTCCACGAGACATACGTGTCGGTCACAGGGAGAGAGCTTTATTTGTAAAATTTTGGGATGATGTGCTCAGACGCTTCTATGCCAACTCCATGACGTCCCTCGCAGAAGGCGCAGGACGGCGCTTGGCGTGGCCTGGCGTGACAGGGACTGACGCTGGCAGGCTGCATTGGTGGCCTGCTGTTTTGATGTCAGAGGCGATGTTCCAACCATACTAATGTCGCTTTAGAACAAAAAAAGGTGGCGAAATGCGGGCTGGGTTTATTTGCACTGGTATTATAGAGGGCTTCTGGGTATATCCGCTAATATTTTGAATGAGCCAATTGGCAGGGGTGGCGTATGTGCAAATGTGGCGGATTCAGTGTGGACGCGCTCACAGGAACATAGTTTGATTTTCGAATATGATGGGATTCCCTTGCTGGAAGCATGCCTTTAGATGTCTGGTCTATGTTGGGGCGACTAACAGTGGCAGGTGATGGGTTCCGCGCTGTTCCAATGCGGTATCCAGGTCCAATCGTACTCAGCTACTCTGTCACTTCAATTCACGGGTCTTCAACAAAACTTTAACGTCTGCTGAGGGCCCTTGGATTGCATTCCAGAGCAGTTGGGAATGATCAGACTTTGGTATGGCAATTAAACAGGGCAGAGCACGCCAACTGTCACTGTCCGCCATCCGGTCATAAACCTGACATTAAAGTACAACTGCTGTGGAGATGTCGTCATCCGTCCGTGTGTCAGGAATTAGCCAATTCGCGGACACACAGAAGACTTGCCCACGAAATTTCACATTGCTAATCAGGACATTCCGACCTAGAACTAAAGCAAAAGGCAAAAGCGCATCCCAGCCCAAAGTTGCGGTTAAGCGCTGCGCAAATTTGAGCCGAAACTCTACGTCCATCCTCAAATCTTCGTACGGAAGCCTCATCAGCCAAAGAGCGGACGGACATCAGCTATTTCTCGGATGCAGACGCATGACAGCATATATACCCTTTCTGTCCATGCTTTCCCAGGCATTTCACGTACGACTTGAGATTGTGAACATCATCTGAGAACTTGGCACTCTGAATTTTCCCTCGCGTCGTGAAATGCGGATACATTGACGAAAAGCAAGTGCACCTAACAAGAGCTTATCGTGTTAAGCCGGAAGGCTCACGCTGCACCGTGGCACGCGGTTCCGCTGGTTGGGGAGAAGCCGCTGTGCCGTTAGTCGGAAGCCCATCGACCGGTCTTTCGAGCACGGGCTGACCGTATGATTATGCCCCTCATAGGTCGACACACAGTACGCAATGTATGGCGTTTTCTGAGCTTTTCTGGTGGCTGCCTTGCAGTCCGTCGCCAGCGCCAGGCCCGTGGGCCTGCGGACTCCTCTGGACGCCATGAAGGAGCCCATCTACTGCACCGGCGCGGACCACGCCAAGGACGAGTGCTTAGAGCACTACGAGTGCGCCGCCCTCGACAAGAAGGCCTGCAAGCAGGTCCAGGGTGAGTGCGGCACGCGCCAGTCCGCTTCTAAACGGAGCGCACGTTGTCTGGGTGTGGTTTGAAGTTGGCTGAGGGCGCCACCATGGACTAATTCCCTGTCGCGACATTTGGCAGCCCTGCTGGACCCAGACTCTTGTGCCACTTTTCAGACAGTAATCTGTTGTTGAAAAGTCGCCCGGCTGGGTTTGGGGGCCTGCCTGTGCGTTTCTAAACACGCTTTCCTGACGGCTCGCGAACTGCTTTGTTGAATCTGCCCCTCACACTCGCGTGGTGCCTTGCTCTCTTTCTTGGAAAGGGCAACAACGTCGTCGAACGAAAGGTCGTTTTCTGCTCACTCCAGCGGTCTGGCTGCCACTCCCCGGGTCCCATGAGTCTGCACAGTCTTCATGTGCACAGGTTCAAATTTCCACAGTTTACGCATTTTCCGCATTCTCTTTATTTCCCGCATTTCCCGTATTTTCTGCATTTCCCAAATTCCCCACATTTCCCGCAATTCCCACATTTCCCGCCTTTCCTGCATTTCCCACATTTCCTGCATTTTCCGCATTTCCACATTTTCTGCATTTCTATATTTCCGGGTTCCCTGCGTTTCCACATTCCCGGATTTCCCGCATTTTTCCGTATTTTACGCATTTCACGCACTTTGCCCAACTTTCACCTCTATGTACCCCCCAGTATGGGAGCATCGACGCCGCAAATACCAAGGCTGGACCTGGCCAACGGCGCTCCTTCCAGTTTCTCTCAGACCCATGAAGCGCGAAGGCCACTGGTTAACAGGTGCCCCATCGATCAGCCGCTGCGCGATTGACTGGAGCTTTCTGTGCCGGCGTGACACTGGCGATGCGCAGGCTGGACATCCTGGCCTAGGGTGCCCATGACCTGGGCTACTGCACGGGGCCACCGGGGCCGTCAGCCGCGGCGGCAGAGTTCCCTAGTCTCCCGCCGACGCCAGGGGTAACGAGGCGGCGACATCG